GAAAAAGAAAAAGAAAACCACCAACAAAAACAACAACGCACACACAAAAAGACTTGTCTGGTGTCGGTGCATCAATGTGGATCTATGGCTTTACTCACTAACGACAAATAAAGAAGGAAAGAAAGAAGGAACGGGAGAAAGAGGGAGGTTTTGGTTGTTTCGTGTGCCTGGTGGTGTTTCTGTATTTCTGAGGTAACGCAAGAGTGTGTGCATTTTGCATTTATTTTTCTCCGTAGGATTTCTTTTGGGTTGGAAGTGGGCGCGTGTGTGTGCGGGGGAGGCGTGAGCATGACGCTTTCCCTTTTATTTTTCTGTAAACTCCGTTTTTTTTTTTTGCATGACTGCCTTTCCGTTGCGTAAGCTGCTAGTTTGTCGGGATGTTGTCCTTGGCCACTGAGGTGAAGTCGCATTATCATATTGCCGTGTCTACCCGATTTGTAGAGCGCCTTGCTGCCGCAGGTGAGACCGTCACTGCGGAGTACGTTTACCAACGAGCCCTTAACGAAAATTTTAAGGACATCACAGATGTGGGGACGCTTCCGCACGGAATAGCCTCTCAGGTGAACGGCACACTTACAAGCCCCGTGGTACTTCAGATCAACAGCTCAAGGGATGCTACGCAGCCGCTTCGGCCGTGCGCTGACTCAAGTGAGGAAGAAATGACATTTGCTGCGGCCCTACAAAAAACAACGAACACACGTCTTTTGCGTCTTGTTCTTAGTGATGGGCACGCGGAGGTCACAGCCATTGAGCTCGCCACCCTTCCTGTGTTTTGTGGCATACCTGTTCCAGGGGAGAAGCTTCTCGTTAAGGAGGGGGCCCAGATTAAAAATGGGGCCATCATCATGACGGAGGACTGTGTTGTGCCACTCGGCGGTGAGGTACAACAGCTCAAGAGGGAGTTTCTTGCAATGAGGAGCAGATCTGATGTTCCTTATCAGACCAGTGGGGGTCTAGAGGCGGCTCCGCATTTCCAGCCACTTCGTGTGGGTTGTGCCGCAGCGGGCGGTGTGCCCAATAGACAAGCGGCGACTGCAGGCCGAGGCCGGGGCAATGACAATACTCGAGGGAGAAGCGGCGGTCGTGGGTATCGTGGCGGGCGGGGATCAGGTCCCACACCGCATCACCTTTCATCGAGGGGTGGGTACCATTAGTCGCCGCTTTGAGAGCAGCCTGAAGTTTTTACCTGCACACCAAACCATCCATTTATTTATTTATTTTTCAGGGAAGGGCGTCTCCTTTCGGCACATTTTCGGCTCTCTCTCTCTTCTCTTTTTTGTTTATTCCTTTTTTTTTTTTTCTTCTTCTTCTTGCTGCGCTGCCCCTGTTTTTGGTACTTGCACAGGTGTTCCACGCACGCGTTGGAAGCAGCACACAGGTGTGAAGGAAAATAAAGTCAAGCAATGTCTGGGGGGGAACCGTCTGATAAGAGTGCCAAAGGAATGCGAGCCGTCATTTTGGTTGGGGGGTACGGCACTCGTTTACGTCCACTCACCTTAACAATGCCAAAACCTTTGGTGCCGTTTTGCAACAAACCAATAATTGTGCACCAAGTGGAGGCACTGCGAGACGCGGGTGTAACAGAAGTTATTCTCGCCGTTGCTTACCGCTCCGATGCGATGAAGAAGACCATGGAGTACTGGGCCAAGGAGCTTGGAGTTTCTTTTGCATTTTCCCTAGAGGAGGAGCCCCTTGGGACAGCTGGACCACTGGCTCTGGCGCGTGATATTCTTCTTCAGGATGATCAGCCCTTCTTTGTTTTAAACGCTGACATCACATGCCGATTTCCGCTGCGAGAACTTCTTTCATTCCATCAAAAGAGTGGAAAGGAGGGCACGATCGCCGTGACGAAGGTGACGGAATGGCAGAAGTACGGTGTTGTTGTCTTTGACGAGGCAACTGGGCTTATTGACCAATTTGTGGAGAAGCCGAGAAATTTTGTGGGAGACCGCATCAACGCCGGTATTTACGTCTTTAACAAGAGTGTTCTTAGCCGCATTAAGGTGGAGAGGACGTCCATAGAAACGCAGGTGTTCCCACAAATGGCCAGCTCCAAGCAGCTGTGCGCATTTGTTCTCGAAGGCTTCTGGATGGACATCGGTGTCCCTAAGGATTACATTGAGGGCGTCAGCAAGTACCTGCGGTCGCTTAATGGGACCCCGAAGGAGGCAAAGGAACTCTACAAGATTGATCGGGCCCACCGAAACGATGATTTCACCGTCATCGGTTGTGTCATCATAGACTCCACCGCGAAAGTCGGACAAGGGTGTGTCATTGGCCCATTTGCGACTATTGGTCCAGGTTGTGTGATTGGTCCCGCGTCACGCATCAAGAATTCCGCGGTTCTCGAGGGCAGCACGATCGGTAAGGGGACGCTCATCGACTCAAGCATTATCGGCTGGAAGTCGAGGGTTGGCTCCTGGTGCAGAATTGTCAACAATGCTGTTCTAGGCGAGGACGTGGAGGTGAGGGACGAGTTGTTTCTTAACGGAACGAAAGTGCTCCCAAACAAGTCAATCTCGCAGAACTATCACGAGCCGGAGGTTGTTATGTGAGCTGCGGCGGGCGATCTTCTGGGTGCACACCAGCTTTTTTTTTTTTTGCCTCCTACCGGCGGTGGTGGTGGGAACATAAACTGGGGAGAGTTGGGAGGAGGGAGGAATCGAACCCGAAGAGGCAGGAGACAAGAAGAAAACAACAAAAACGCCAACAACGACAAAACGATGACAATAACAACCAAAAGAGAGAGAAAAGGAAGGAAAAGAGAAAAAAAAAGACGTCCTCGTACAGGAGGAAGAGGAGGAGACGAAATGAAGAGGGGCAGCAACAATGACAAAAAAAAACGCCATCGTACCATTCATTTGAATGAGTGGTGGATGATGAACTTTTTTTCCATTTTGGAGCTCTTTGTGAGCTTGTTTTTCAGCTATTTACTGTGTTCGCGACAGATGTCTCTGTAGTGGCAACGTTCCGGTAGAGTCTTGCCCCTTCCTCGGTCTTTGTTGCTGCGCGCGTGTGCCTCTCCCTCACCCGAGATGCACAGCCTGTGGAAGCAGGAGAAAACAAAAAGAGTGTAGTCTCAGTACACCTCTACGGCATGAGCGAATGGTCGCAGCGTGGTTGCCGCCACCCCACTCCAGCGGCAATGGCAAAATGTTCCGGAGGAAAAAGCAGGGGAATATCAACTCACTCTATTGTCCGCGTTGCTAATCAAATTCGAGGAAGAACGCTCCAACTGTGAGACCAAAACGTTTAGGAGTCCTTTTATTATTATTATTATTATTTATTATTATTCGGTGGTATGAAACTTGCCACTGTGTGGGGCAATACACCTGCTGCTGCCCTCGCGCTCGCACGAAACGCTGACTACTTAAGTGTCGTATAGAATTTTTGGGATGATGGGGTCTAGCGCGTTCTACGGTGCCTTTTTCTTTTCCTTTTCTTCACGACAAGAACAATTCCGCAGGGTACTGGTTGTGATAGCTGTTGGGCGTATTCCTTTGTTGCTTGTTCGAATGCGCCGTGTGATTCTGTTGACTCCGCTTACTGGCGAAAAAAAAAAAAATAGGCACGGTAGATGATGCGGAGCTGCTGTCAGTCGATGTCAGGGCTATGAATACGACCCGTCACCTAATCTCTTGTGCTGAGTATGTTCCAGCGTTGCTAACAACTGTGAGCCATAGTGAGGCTTTGCTTGCCGTTGCTGGGACCTTGGAACTCACGATTGCTCGATATTTTGAGGGTGGAGTAGAGCTGTTAGCAGTTGCGTGGTCGATGCTCGAGTTGATGATGCAAGCAGGAGTGACAAACTCAAGTTCCTTTTCCAAGGATGATACGCAAGATGTGGAGGAAGTTATTTCTCAATGTGGCCCTGTTCTCCGCGCTTCTTTCCTTTTGCCCTCTGGAAAAACTGGATGCATGGCTGGAGAGTCTTGTTAGCTGTTTGGTGTGTTTGATATGACTTTGAAGCACCTTTGCGTGTACCACAAAAGAAACACTTGATATTGTCGCATTGCTCGATATCCTCCTTTTTCTTGCAACTTGCCATGACGCCACGCATAGAGCTTGCTTTGAGATGGTTCACTTGCATCAATAAGTTGCCTCCTCCAGTGCGTCTGCGTCGTCTGAGGTGCCGGCTTATGGGGCGAGTAAGGTGATGAGTTTCTTCTCCACCGCCTTACCATTGTGGTTTGGGCGAATTCAAAGGCTTGTGGGTTCCATGCCTGTAGAAACGGCACCTTCATCAGCGAAGCCTCCAGTTGTCACGTGTTGTGAGACTGTGGAGCGTTTGACAAGTTTCTTTGTTTGTGCCACCCAGGTGGCGGTGGCGGACGTCTGTGGGGATGTTCTTTTTGTCTTGATAGCCACCGCCGGCGGGGAGGAGGAGTTGGCACTTTTTGTTCTTCACTCGTGCGTTGAGAACAAAAAGTGTTGCTCAAGACCCACCAGTTTGAACTGCGACAAGGAACTTTTGCGTGACACGTCGCAACGACGGAGGCTCTCCTTGTTAGTCATCTCTCTCTTGTGAAGGTGCCTGAAAGCAACGCGAGGGCAGAGGCGGAGGCGGAAAGAGCTGCCTTGGAGTTTCTTAGTTTTTATGTGACAAGGAACCTGGAGGTGTCGGATAACGATGTCCTTCATGATGCCGTGCACTAGACGTTGGTTGGATTAACATCCCCTCATGACTGAATGCAGCCTCTTATTTTGGGCCATTGTGGGACTGTAGCGCGATTGTTTCAATCTATTATCTTGTTTCAACCCTCAGTCATGACGGCAGACAAACCGCAAGGACCGCTTCAATTTTTGATCTTATTGCTATGCGCCTCATCGTGGGGGAAGCATGGATACATTGGTGACATTAATAGTTATCTTTGTCTCATTCACTGTGAAAAAAGATATGCTTGCAGTTGTCTTGATAAACGAGTTGGTGGTGAAGACGAAGCAGAACATATGTCTTCCAGAGACGTCTTACTTACTGCTCATATTTACCTCTGTCGTGCGGGACAGCAGCGGCGCAGGGGCGGCCAGTAAAGGCAGCTTTGTTCATCTTTGCCTTTTCTTCCTTCAGAAGGCGGAGCGCAGTACGCAAGTGGAGAACGATGTGCATCTCATTGGAATCTTACTAGCATTAATGTGCCGCACCTTCGCTGGAGTGAGGCCGGTACAGCAGCTGCGTGATTACAAACCGGACGCCTATGAGTCAGTGAGACCGCACAATTGATGTGGACCATTTTGTCCCCCGTGTCTGACGGCTGCCGCCGTGCCGCTTCTCCTCTGCTTCTCCTCTGCTTCGCCTGTGGGCGCCCGTGTGCGCATGATGCCGCTGTTTGTTCTGCAACGCCGGTCGAAGTGGGCGAGAACCACCGCCTTGACGACTGGGGGGCGTGGCGCGGCCAGGTGGATGGTGTTGTTGGAGCTGCATCTTCTTTTTTTCTCTCTTGTTTTTTGGAATTCAGGGATGTGCGAAGGCGCGTTCACGAGATTTGTATTGGAAGAAAGTTTGTAATCAAAGAGAAAGTGTCATGGGTTGTTCTAATTCGCTGGAGCAAACAATGAGGCAAGCGGATGCTGACAATGAGTGCGAGTCTATTTTGAGTCTTTTTCC